GTAAATTTAGTTTAAAAACTTCAATATTTCTCTGACAATGTTCTAATGGAAGTTACAAACTATTTGTGATTGAATACAGCCTTTTTATTTCACTTATATTATTAGAATTACAATTTTTGTTTCTGTTCGAATTTCCCTAAGTAGAAAAGACTTGAATGCCTACGTTGGACGTCTGCAATAAGAGTAGAGGTAGAGGACAAGCCGACGGAAGATTGCAGGTCGGAGGTGGAAATTCCTTGCCAGGATCAGTAGTTACGTACGGAGGAACGATTGGTAAAGGTCTGTTGATACAAGTGCTAATGCGCCACGAGCGCGCGGTGTGCGCCGGGGAGGTATTAAGCCAGCAGGATAAAAGTACCCAGCGAAGTGCAAAGAGACAAAGGGAAGGAAGAAAAATGGCATGATTGCTGTCACCGTTGTACAAACACGCGCACGTTCCCGAGCGCATTTGTTTGTTACGTGGATGATTCGAATGGACGCAATATGGCTGATGAAGCGCACTCCGAACTCGCCATCGAGGATAACTATTGACTTTCTGCGGTCAGCGGAACACTGTGGTCAAATGACAAAATATTCAATCTTTGGAATTTTCTTGTACAAATTTTAAAATCGGGATTCATGGGACTTCTAAAAATACAATTATTACAATAATATTGAGCTCCAATTTTAATATATATTTTTCTTGGTACAAAAAGAATTTCGTAATTTCACTGATAGCATTATTGATTTCATTAATGTGAAGATATTTGCTTTCATTAATGTGGTGACATTTATTATAGTGATAGAGTCAGACGAAAGGATGATTTCGAAATTTTAGATTGTAGTTCAGAATCATTTTTGTGAAGAGTAGATAGACTGTAATACGTAATTGAAATAAAATAGAATCCCCTATTATCCCCTTTGTCATGCAAAAATGGGCCATTACCTGACTAATGTACTCGTGGCGGCGCAACAATAACTCACAGTCAATTTCCAAAGCTTTGTGTTGCTGTCATACTTGGAATTTATCATCATTATCCTCTGGTTTCGCTGGTCATACAAAAATTTGAAAGTAAAAGCTTTTAACCGCGTCCCTGAAACATATACCTCTCTTGTCCTTTGCCTGGACGTGTAGCAGGTAGATTCTACGTAGGTTCAAAGACGGCGAAGGTAAGATTTAGGGGTCTGAGAAAAAGTGAGAGCACGAGAGAATCCGAAGACCGAAGGAGATAAAAAATTAAGCGATCGTTCTCGTAATGGAAGCACTTTATTTACGAGTATATTATCATCTATCTTAATAGTAAATAGACGTATTTTGTTAATGCGATATTATCTGAGGTCTCTAAGAATATTCAGGAGACCATTGTCACTGTAAACTTAATTTGTGGTTGAATAGAGTTTATAGTTAATTTAGAAAATTGTCACGATTAGATATTTTACTTTATTACTTCATGATGTATAATTTCTACAGTTCGAAGAACACTATTGGTTGAACACACAATTTGGTTAAAATTATTATTAACGTAATTAAAATTAAAAAATAAAATTTGAGCTTTTCCTGTCATCATGTCATCTGTAAATAAAAAGAGAAGAACAAGTCATCGAACCCATATAATGAAACCGAGGGTCCTTTCAGCAAAGCTACGTTCCTGCCTTCTGGTTTATATACGTATACATTCTCATTCAAAAGATTGGAGCAGACTTCTAATTAAATTAAATCTTTGTCAAATAAATGTGCCAACACTATTTTTATATGGGAGTCAAAGTAAACTGTAAGGAAATTTGATGAAATTAATACTACGAAATTTGGAGCGACACGAATTAAGATTCAGAGTAAATTTAGCTTCATATATTCGAAAATTTGAAAGTTAATCTGATAGTTTAAATATCCCGTCCTAGAGGAATGATAGAAAGCAAGAGCAGCTCCAAAACTCTATTTTCAGAGGAAAGAAATGATTTTTGCATGAAATCTTGCTAAGTGTTTAAGATTTCTAAATCGCTTAAAGGAAACAAGGGAAAAGTGGTCCTCGGCTTATGAACGGCCTTGTACACGACCTCTCATTTCCTACCCGCGCGTTAGGTAGTGATTCTAGCTTGGGAAACGCAGGCGAGGGAGGAAACTGACGAACACGTTGGCGGTGTGCAGTCATCCCATCGCGTCGCATCGGCTTCAGAGTAGGGAACGGGCGAAGAGCTGGTGGGAGTTCTTCAGGGCTAGGTTCTATACAGTGGATGGTAGGGAACGCGACGGTGGGAGTTGGCGGCGGCTGCGCTGGGTATCCGGCCGGGGCAGTAGTCGGCGGCGGTGGTTCGAAAGACAAAGATCGTTCGCTTTGGGGAAAAGAGAGAGGAACGAACGGAATGGAAATGCAGTCAGGTTAGCCGAGGGCGAACGGTGGGAGAGGCCAGGGACGAGGAAAGGCAAGCGATTTAGCTGGTGCTGGCTCGGGCAAGCCACGAGTTGGAGCGTCGAGAGAGTAGCCGAGGTCCCGTTGCCCGTGGCTGAACCTGAAACGGGAGGAGGCGTCATGAAAGCGCGCCAGTTGACCGAGTGCACCTCAGCTCGGACGAAAACGCGTTCTTGTTCACGTTGAAGGACATACGATTCTTCTGTCTGCACCCTACAGCTGCCTCCGCGGCTTCAAGGATCCGTATTCCTGCTTCTGGCTGTCATGCGTTACACTCGGTTTGTACGGAACGACGTACGTCTAGTGCCAGTGGATTTCTAGTTCTCCGACCCGAGCCGTTACGCAGGAATCCGTACTCGATTTCGTTATTCCCGAGCCGTGTGTACTCGTTTCACCGAAAGTTTCACCGTTAACTGTGTGTGCTGTGCGAAACGGCTGAGTTGATCACGGATGTGCTCCGTGTACCTTTGACACGACGTCCGGCTGACACAACAGAAGGGCCGCTGCGTTTCCCGAAGGAAAGAAATAGGCCAGGACCATTGTTCGGCGATTCGTTTTCATACCACGGACACATATAATCTCATGGTACATTGTTACTGACATATGTATTGATTTCGCTGGAAAGGTGTTGGTGGACACCGTTCGCGTTCAGGACGGAGTCGACAGGAGCGGCTGGAGAAAAAAAAAAAATATGAAAACTCGTTCCTGTCAGTAGGCACGACTAAGGCATCGGAAAGTATAAAACGCACTTCTAATTTCACGTGGACACAGCTCGCCTCCGGCTATCGTTTCACCTTGACGTTGGACACGTTCGACGTACTGACACGTTTCGGCTGATATTCCTTTATAATCGGTCCTGAGCGACGATTCCACGCGAGACGAACAGCCGTTTCGACAGACGTTACTCTTTGTTATCGAAACACGTGTACCATCCTGTACCTGCATACGTAAAACGCGTTCGCACTCCGGAAAGGATTCGTATTTCGCGTACGCCCCGAGAACCCCGTCGATGGTACGAAATACAAAGGAGCGAAGGATAATGGAGCGAACAAAATGTACTGGCTCGAAGACCGATTCGAATTCGCTGAACGTGCTGTGACGCTCGTTATTTGCATAATTCGACGACAGTAATGCAGCCTGCTTCGCGGTACATACAAACAAGGATACGTGTTCCTTAGTAATTAATATCTTTCTACGTTCGTCACCTTTTTTTTTTATTAACGATACATTCCATTCACGCGTATGGTAAAATGTATTCACAGAGAGCCTCTACTGTCAGTACAAAAGCAACAGAAGAGATGGAAATCAATGTAAACGGTCGTTCCGTTGAATCGAGCTAATTCCTTGCTTCGATTATCTAATAACCTCACGGCTAATAGCGGTGATATCTCCGATCTTGCGACTCTCGGTTCGTTACCTTGTCGTTGTCTGCGCTGGAGGGTAGCATCCCTCCGGGTCGTTACCCATTCCGCTCGTTGAAGTGTTGGAACAGGCCGAGCAAAGCCGAAGAGAAGAAGAGGAGGAGAAACCTTATCTATTCCACATTTTGCGTGAAACATAGTTTGAACTCGTCTAGGAGAGAGCAGAGATATTGAAAAAGCTCGTAGCCAAATATTAAGCGCTTGTTCCACCAGGAACACTGCTGGTAACTCGATTAGTCTGGTTCGTGAACATGTCCACCGTTTCGTTGCGGTTCACCAACTTCTCAGCTTGACATTCCTTCCCAGTTTCGAGGAAACAAATATCACAGGTTGCCGCGAGCGAAATTATCGCAGTCATGACGAAACGAGCAATCAAAAGGGTAACGAACGACAGAACTAGGAAAAAGAGGACTGCGTAATCGTCTGTCGAAAGCCAGCTTGATTAGTTTAGACTAGAGACGGTAGAAAATCTATCGGGCGGACTAATAAGTAGTACAGCAGGAAGCCGAGAGGCACGCACGTCGAGTGACACACGACCGACACGTGGTCATTGTGTACCGTTTGCAACATTCCAGTGTACATAGAGCTAGCTAGTAGGACAACGCTGAGAGGGAGGCCGGACGGGAAAAGAAGAGCTCGTTCCGGATAGTCGAACCCGCGAGAGTCAGCTTGCCGATGGACATGGCAGCTGTCGTTACATCTTCTGTTACACGCTACCATCGTCGTCAAGGCTATCGTGAACCTCACGCTGCCCGCGAGTCGTGCAGACAGGTGTTATCGCGAGGCGTCCAGGCTCACCGGATACGAGACTCCTCGTGATAGAGCGGACACGCGGCTCGCGAGTCCAGTTGTCCACTGTGCGTTAGAGTGTCACCGATCGATCGAGAGACTCACCGACGCGCGTGACACGCGAGCATTCTTCTAGTGACCAAAAGTGTTTTGTTAGGGGTGATACCGGTGCGGATATATCAGTCCTGCCGAGGAAGTAGACCAGAGCAGTTGGGGAGAGGGAACGAACGACGGGGATCGACAGTGTAGAGTATAGTTTTATTTGGTCCACTGTTTAAGATGAAGAAACTGACGATGGATTCGCAGCGGCCGCTGTCCAAATTCCGCGGCACCCTTCTTCTGCTTTTGACGCTGCTCGCTGAGGTGAGTAGGTGCTGGCTGGCAATCGTATGAATCTGGGACGCTTGCGTCGGAATGCCGTTTCCGCGACAGAATCCGCGAGTGAGTACTACTAGTACTCACGACACTCGAGACCATCGTCTACGGTTACCTTCTCCTCGGATGTAAAACGTTTTGGTCTGGTTGCTCGGGTTTGTTACACCGAGCCGAGCAGTTTTCAGTTCTCTTTTAATTTCAGCTGGGGAAATCTCTATGATGAATTCCTCGGGTATAATAGATTCCTTAGATAGAATGGAAATGAGGAGCGGGACGATTAATAACGCGCTACCGAAGGCATGGTGAAATATTCAACGCGAGAGAGTTCGCTGATTTCGTAGATTCTGAGATAAGCGAACATTTTCTAAAACCGATGAGTCTCGGGAAATATTTATTTACACAGTGTAAATCTTGTTTATGGCAGTAATTGCAAAACTTAATTTATTCGTCAGAATGAGAAGTGAATTTATAGTCGGAATTCATTTCATTATCGTTATTAAACTATCAGAGTGTCGAGGAAGATATTGTGCCAGTTTCTAAACATGACTTAAGTGATTATCGACATGATGCAATAAGTAATTGTTTAAATTTATTGGAACCGAGATAAACGAGATTAGAAACGAGATTTTTGTGTATTTAGAGATTGCTCAAGAACGCTTATTGTTAGCATGGATCATTGTGGTTCTCAGCTTGTCAATCTCCGCGAGGGTCACGATAAGAAACTGTACTATGGATCATTTCGTCTCGTTGGATTTCACGTAGTTCGCGATAAATCTGAGTCAGATCGGATCTCGAAGTTGTGGTTAGCGATCGGTGAAGGGGAACGCGCCGCGCCGTCAATATCTAGTCTTCTTTTGCTCGGCCGATTTGTGTCTCCCGCGTTGCGAAACTCCGTTGACTTTCCCAACGTGAAAGAGTGAACGTCACGTCTGGTCGCGTCGTTTGGAACGATTCTCAATGACCTCCGAGGAGTTTGAATGGTCCTGAGGTAACGCGAGGATTTCGTACGCCGATCTAAACATTTAATCTTGACTTTTCGACAGGCCTCAGTTTGCGAAATTTTTACTGAGACGTCTAATTAAGCTCGTACTGTGTAAGATTTGAGAAATTCGAGGTTTATATTTAGCACATGGTTAAATTATTAGCTATTTGAATATGTAATAGGTTCCATGCTTAAATAGCCCAAGTTAATTTGAATCGACAAATTTATTAGTCATTTAACTCTGACGTAATTTTATTAGTATCTTCGTCTGCGGTTTTCGCTTTTGATAAGAATATAGCTTTTCATACGACAGTATTAGCAAATTAATTGCAATATTCTTGAAGAATTCGAATATTTTTTAAACGCGAGGAATGACTGAAGGCATCATGGTTTATCGGCTAATGGAAAGTTCCTGGCGAAAGTAGTTTCTGCGAATGCGATCAACGCCCGTGACAAATGAAATTGCTTCTCTACTCAATATTGGTCAACGCCCATATTGACTATTTTGTTAAACTAAAAAATATCGTTCATCCAATCACTCTATAAAGAATCAATGTTGAAGCACGACGTGATGGGAGGCAACGCGATGCCGTTGATCCAATAGCAGCAGATAATTTACGTACGCGGCGTTGCACAGCAACTAGGCTAAGTGAAAGTGAATCGAGTAAAGATCGGTGTAAAAACAATGCAAATGTGGATACGTGAGACTTCAGCCACAGGTTGAAGGACGGAGAACGTTGGAGAATTTTTGTAGGTTTTGAGGTCAGACTTCGTGTGCGAATCACAGTTCTGCTTCCTGTGAATAGAGTAACGCGTTGGATTCTTCATTGATTCAACAGAAAAGCAGTCATTTCAAGGATCATATTGTAGCTTCATGAAATGCTTAGAACATATAATAATGAATAATTTTGAGAAGGCAAACTAATAGAATGCACTTCTATGAAAAGTTTTAATCATCCACGCAACTAATGTAATAAAGTTTGTATTTGTAAAAGTAACGAAGAAAACACTCGACGGTGGCCTGGTTAACAAGGCGAAATTGTAATTAACTCGACTGCGCGATACAACAGATAAAGTAACAAAATGAACCAGCCATCTGTTTCAATTTGTTGCAACGAGTTTGTTCCAGAGGCCAACCAGCTAGCGTATCTTTCCTGTTTTTGACGCGCGTGCAATTAAAAAAATTTATGGCGAATATTTTCAACCAATGAAATATACCCGCCTGCTCGCGCTAACACGATAAACCGGCCGCGATTTTGTAACTCTGAAAGGTTTCAACGTCATTTTCACTCGACTGTGATAATTTGTAGAAACATTTTCACTCTGGTAACCACAGATTTAATAATAATCATTATGTACTTGCCTTTCGAAAAACAAATGAATGTCTAATAAAAATATCTGATAAATAAAATAATATTCACCACGTGGAGGTTGAAAGAATTATTTGAGAAAAAAATCTAGGTAACGTGTTTGATTAAACCATTCTACTTTCTCCTGTAACAACTTCATGCGTCTTTAGACGATCTTCAAGTTTCCAGAATCTTTCTATACCGATTGAACGGTTGGTATAGATTTCTTGTATTCTGAAATAGAAATCAACATATTACATCAGTTTTCATTCACGGTTACTGTTGTTGTCTCTTTTCTTCCAATGTAATAAAAGATGCACCGGATGTTCACTTCCTTCATCCGCGGCATGCACGCATCAGTGGCTGCGAAATTTGCATCCGCGGTTTAAACCGCGAAATTTCCGACATGGTCAGAATTACTGTAACTTCCTCTTTATCAGAGGATAAGAATCATTTAGTAGAGTGTTTACAATGAAACCCTACTGTCTTTCAATTTTTTCACTTTACTTCCTCCTTCGTGCATCAGAATGGAGAATTAAATAATAAATGTCCGAGTCTGAGAAATGTTTTTCACTTGGCAGAGAATCAAACGTAGAAAATCAGTAATATTAGATTAGATCATGACAAGTATTTCTCTATTTATCAAGGGAACTAACATTTTGCGATGTGTCGATAGCTGTGTGTACTTTGAATTCGCCTACGTCGTACAACATTTTTGCATGCGGGTGCAATAACTGTTTTCATTGGCAATGCGACGCTTATGCTGTCAGGGCGATGGCTGCTGGTGGAAGAGAACTGGTCGATACGAAAGCGATTCCACTCATGTTCGCGGTTCTAGCTCGCGAATTGTTCGTCGTATTTTCACTGTACATGGTGGGATCGGGAGAAAGCCGTGACATTATTGGCCCAGAATTCGGGGCTCATGACCGCGTGCTAATTTTAAGCGCTTGTACGATCGTGCCCTTACGAAGAGGTCCTGTTCTTCGCCGAATAGATCGCGAATAATCGTTAATCATGTTATGTTAACGCTTACATCGCATAGTGACGGCATGGATATTTCATTGATCGTCGTATCGCGAGAAGTTTTAGGTACCACGCTTCCGACCCTTTTTTCAGCCTTCTTATGCTAAAAATAAATCCTTTCGATGGGGAGAACCTGACTTAGCTAATAACTAGTTAGAGAATAAATTGCTCTTCGGTCCTATTGACAAATTTTTATGAAACATGGCAATTACAAAAATATAATAATTTATATTTATGAATAAAATTAGCAATTTCATTTTGTTGTGTGCAATTTAGAAGTGGTCTGTCGCACATCAAAGAACATCGATTCATTTATAATTAATTAAAATTTTATCTCGCCTGGCAGACAAAGTTAAATATATTCCGGGTTTAATGGCCAAGATCAAAGATTTGCCATTGATGAACACCCTCCCTTGTCGATAGGTAGTTTGACCCTCAATCGAGGTAAAAATAAACCTGCGAGGGAAATGTATTTTACTACGCCTGGAACGATGAATAGATCCTCAAAAGGAAAGCATAAAATTATTACAGCATATTTTAAACGTAATCAGATTTGTGATTGCATATGTTAGGAATTTATAACACGCAAATAAATGTAATTAATTCAGATTAAATAATGTTACTAGTTAGTCTTTATTAGTTGTTTCTCAACACTCCTTCAATTTATTTTCAGTCGCACTCGATATCATTGTAATTATTTATTGCATAATTAAAATATAATATTAGATATCAATGACTTATTATATTTAATGCTGTTTCATTTATAATATAATATCAATCTGTATTAAATTTTAGGAGAAGATTGCCGTTACTTTCGAGCTTCGCTGTCATTTTAAATGAAACGAGCAACGAGTGCTCCAATTTTAGTCCGGGAGCGTTATCGGTCGACGGATCGTTACGATATTGGCGGCCGTATCGCGCGTAACGAGCGTGCATGTGACAAGCAATCAGTCCGCATTTAGTGTAACGACAAAGCGTGCACGTTGTACGCTCTTTATTCATTGGCTCGCGTGTCACCGTAAAAGTTTGCGACCCGCCAGGGTGGTTAACCCAGAAATTCACCCGAATGTGCACGAACGGCGTTCGCTATCTTCGTCGAACTGCACGTGCACCGCTAAATTATTCGAACTCACCTAATTCTTTCGCAATTGCGATACAAGGATTCATGTCTTATGAATAGAAGCCAGTATTTCATATTACGTATCATTTTATTTCAAATTATATCATTTTCTGACTATTAAAAATGCATTGCTTGCTATGTCGTAAGTCTAAACATGAGATTAAGAATTCTGATTGGTTTTTAATTTGTTTTCAGCGAAGTTAATTTTCCTATTCTATATTTTCGTGATTAAGTTTTTGTTCCTAGAATCATTGCATCCGATTTGCAAATAAACAATCGCAGTCCTTGAAATTCCAATTTACGAGATATAATCAAATCACTAATTGTAAGAGCTAATTTGCTTGTACTCGCAAATGTACACAAGACATTTAATTAATTCCGAATCCCAGAGTACACTTACTTAGCGAAGCTAGAACAAGTCGTTCAATATGCTTCTAACGGGTGTAACTGGGCACAGGAAATGCTGATCGTAAATTGAGCTAGGTTAAACACCGGAACTTTCGGTCGTATACGC